AAAATGATGGATTATGAAATCCGAAGTTCAGCGCTAAATATTTTATATCGGGTGACATTCAACAAGAGACGAGGGCTGCCTCTGAGAATGAGGCCAAGCAGAGCAGCAAGGCTCATCCTCTGATGTGTTGTCTGGAAAGGATTTTATTGATTCTCCTTATCAGACGCTCAAGCTGTTTGAAGCAATATTTGCGGTGTGACCAAACTCACAAACAGCTGCATTTTAAGGGTTTCATTTCCATTTCCATATCAGAACGTTAACTTGTTGACAATAGTGACAATCCTGACTATCACACACACACATGAAATATGTCTTTGCATCACCTGATTTTAAAGAAAAAGTTTTTGTATCCTGATTGAATTTAGTCGAAGAGCTTATGAAAAAAAGTTAGTACTAAGGAATAAATGATTTCCATGAATCTTCCAGTTTCATGCAGCTGAAGAACAACAAACTTCCAATGAATAAAAGAGGACTGATACTAATTCATTCTTTTTAAAGTTTTTTAATTACTCAAACAGGCTAGCATTGAGGATATTCAGATAGATTTAGTGAAAATATTTAATGCTCTCTATAAACTGTAAAAATGAAGCAATAACGAACGTTTTCACCTTGTGCTAAAACAGGGGATCTGACGAAAACACCCTTTCACATTTTATTGATTACCCGTCCACCTATGTGCAGCCACATTTCAGCTATTTGAAGGCACAGAAAGTTTCTCATGAGAAGATTACGTTTGTTACCGCAGTTAAAAAGCCTGATATCCTCTTTATTCTGAGTGGAGGCAACACTGATATGGCAGTGTAGCTGGAACTGACATTCTGAAAAGGCTTCCTAATGGTTTCAGATTCTCGGGTAACTTCACAACTGATGACAACTATGAAACTGGTTCCGTGAGAAAATCGTCTTATGGTAAACCCACAGCTCCTATCACAGTGACTTGATCTCAACCTGCAGTTACAGAGTGACAGGTTAACAGTTCAAAGACTGGATAACTCTGTTTGACATTTAAACTCCCCTGGATAACTTCTCTGAGTACAAAGTTCTGCTTTACATATATTGGATAGATGTAAAACCTGAGGCTCCTTTGAACAGACAGCGAGGAAAACAAAGCAAAGTATATATATATATATATATAAACAAAATGGATAAAGGTCAGCCAAAGAGTACGTCATCTCTCATTATGCCATTTAAAGCACAATTCTTGTTGATATATTAGTGAGTTCTATCTGTGATTTACAACAAAAAAAAAAGAGTGATTTAAAAAACTGAAATATAATTGTCTACTCTAGCACACCTTTTGGGCAGGAAATTCCATGTCATTAATACAAGGGCAAACATTTCATTTGGGCAGGGCTTGGTTAAAGTCTTTGCACAACACAGCCTCTGCCCCTCTCAGCTGCTGCTTTTGTCCTCCCTTTCTTCTGTTTTTGCTGACCCATTCCTCTCTGCCACCGGCTCCTCCACCATCTCTGACCTCTTCGAGGTTCCTGTTGGGATGTAAGGAGAATTGTGAAAGGGTTGGCGAAAGTCAGAACATTTACGACATCAGCAGGTCTAAACCTGGAACAAGGAAGCTGTACCTGTGAGGTAATTCCTGTGCATTCGATGGAACAGCAGGAGACCGATGAAGAGGATAAAACCCATGCAACCGATTATCATCCCACAAAGAAGGAAGCTGTAACTGCCTTCAGTCTGAATAATCTGGGGATAAGACAGTAGCTTTACACTCCTGAAAATGAGTCTGAATATGCACTGGGATTTTTTGTGTGATTTTGGCTCTTGACATCTTAACTATGATAATGAATACTTACTGAGCCAACCAGAACCTGCATCACCATCTCCCCCATCCCTGCACTTGTCACCAGGACAGAGGTTGCACATCCTGCGAAAAAGAAAAATGCAAACCTTTGCTTAATCTTGTCTTACTTTTATTCCACCACCGTGGCATTGTAAAAGTACAGTGTTCACTTTGTCGTACCCTGGTAATCAAGGATGTCTTCGGTATAGGCAAGCATACAGGGGAATATGCTGCTCAGGAAAAGACCGCATAAACAGGTTCCAGCGAACAAAAAGGTGTTACTTGTGTAGAAAATGAGCAGCATCAGTACAGTAACTATCGCGCCTGCCTGTGAACACAAAGAAAAAATGTACCGTTCCGGGATGCATTAACATGTGTTTGACATTTAAGTTTAACCTCAGATGTCTAATGTATAATGCCAGAATGCCGGATGATTTATTGGCCTTACCAGGTTGAACATGAGCAGTCTAACAGGTTGAAAACGATAAGAAAGTGGGATGGACAAGAGACGTCCGGCAGTGATTGCTGCCCAGAAGATACTAGCCAGGTAACCTGCCGTCTTATGGGGTAAGGACATAGGGGGTGCCACAGCATAGGTGTACACAAAGCCAGCATACGCGCCCTGAGAAGAAAAAGAAGAAAAGCCAGGTCCTTTCACGTGTCCTACTTTTCATGTCTTATGGGATGCAGGTTTTGTATGTACCCGCAAAGTGAAATGAATATCATGTGATTTATGTATGCTTTTCACTCACCACAATGCCATCCGTCATAAAGAGCACCAGCCCTCCGAGGATATGAATCATAAAGAAGGATACAGGCATCCCGCGCAGGTTATCATTCTGACAGCAGCTAAAGATATTTCCGTGACCTAAAGGTACAAGAAGTCGCAAATGACAGATTAGGGAGCAGAGAACGTGCTCTTATTGTTTCGTTTTATTCAAGCTTGCTGAGAGTCGAAGGACAGAGTGCATTAATCATGTTTTAAGAAAGTCCAGTTTAATAAATAAATAAATAGATCACTTCTGCCAAACGTTTACCTCCCGACTCGTGCTCCTTCTGCTCTGAGTCTGGGCCCTCGGTCCCCTGCTGGTTCTCCATTGCTAGTTCATCCTTGTCCAAAAGACGTGGAGTGCCGCTGGGGAGGCATGGGATCAGCTGCTCCCGATACATCAGAAACAGGACGGCAATAGGCACGGGCAGCTGAAAGTGTACAAAATGATTATTCTCTTTTTTTTTTCTCCTTTTGAAATCTTATCTGTCAAAGTAATTTCTACAAAGAACCTCGGGTGAAAAATGTCTGCTCTGTGTCTTACGTTGATAAGCGCCATGATCCAGAAAGCGTAGTGCACATTTGACTCTTCCTCTTCCTCTATATTATGGGTCGGTTGACTGAGGGTTATGTTGTGGTCTCTAATAAGATTGTGTCTCAGTGCGTTCCTGAAGTGATGCATGATCTCAGTCCCGTTCTCAGTGTGGTTCCCACAGCCCTTCTCTGAGAGAAAAGGATCTGCAATCAGAGGGCTCACCAGGGCACCAAACCCAATGAAAAAGTGCAGAGCCTGCAAAAGTGTAGAAAGGCCAAGGACATCACTTTACTGCACATTTCACAGAAAACACAGCACATAAAACTTAAGGCTATACGCCAAACCGAGCATCCTTTGTGAAGCAAAGAGGAAAATAGACAGAAAAACTCTGCAAGGATTGTTGCAGAGCTCTAACCTGTAAGAAAACGGCAGAATCCTTTTGATAGATGGTAACCAGCTGGATGTTTGCGATGGTGTCAATAACCCCCATTGCAAACCCTGACACTGCCATGGCGATGGCCAGCACGAGGACATTATTGCACACGGGGATAATGGCAAATATTATAGAGATAACAAGGGCAGAGACAAATAAGGCCGCTAGAGCACTGAACAACCTTTAACAAAGAAGAGAGAAACATGCAGTTATAATCAAGGACTCATTTTCTTCTTTTAAAATGATCTATGCCCTTAAAACGCCTGCGCTGGGCAGTTTGTGATCCTTACGTTCTCTTGAAAATGCCCCCAATAGAGCTGCCAATCAACAAGCAGAACTGCTGGGCAAAAAAGACCCAGGTAATCTGACTGAGCGTTGAGTTTGTTTGACATTGCAAGTCCAAAATTGTGGGTCCAAGAAAAGCAATGCAGAGTCCAAAGCTGAAGAAAACACTCCAGTAAGTCAAAGTGTGATGGGCATTCCGTTTAAACAAGGTCACAATCCGCTCATCTACAAACATCTTGGGTGCAGCAGATGAAGACACACTTCAAGCAAAGTGTCTTTTCTTACTGACAAGTTTCAAAACTATAAAAATGTGGAGCAGCGCTGCCACCTTCAAGGTGTACTTGTGCAGTAACAGGTTTCTGTATGTCTTTTAAAGCTTCCAGTGCTCTGCTCTTTGCATTGCTTAACAGAAAAGGATGTCTTCTTCAGTTAATGGGTGAAGTAGAGATTTTTCAAACAATAATATCCCCATTCGAAATGTGTCAATGATTGGCAATGAAGTACAGCCTGTGTGTTGAAATACCACAAGAACGCAAGCATTTGTGTGTCACGGAGCTCTGAGACACTTTAATGGAAAAAGTATGATTCAGAAAGCAATGACACATAGATAGCTCATGTACAGGTTGTCTGTTCTTTAATTAGCGAGACGGCCCGGGGGTACATCATTTAATTTTTTCAAATGAAAGAATTAAAGAAGTAAATGTGAACTTAAATCCATCCATGTACAATGTACTACTAAACAATATGGTGGCATTCATTGTCCATACTGCTCCCTCCTTGAGCGGCTGTAAAGGGGTTGGAGCCTTTATCGCTGATATTGGAAGAAAGTTGGGGAACACCCAGGACTGGTAACCAGTTCATCACAGGGCCACACAGAGACAAACAACCACACACTCTCCCATTCACTCCCAAGGGTATTTTAGGGCATCAGAATGCTCAGGAGGACAACAATGTAAGGTTATTGTTAACAGAGAATATCTTGCCGGGATTTAATTTCACCACTTTTAGGTTTATGTATTTAGTTAACAAGCTCTGCACACAGAACCTGACATATATTATATTGATGGTTCACAAATATGAATATTCACCAGTGATTTGTGCGATCGTCTTGGTAAAATTCTCTTTATAAAGGTTAAAGGTTTTTAAACCTGAAGCTTGTCATTTAACTGAGGATTTCTTGTGTTTTTAAATACAGGCATACAACCAGCGTAGTGTACTGTACTGTACTGTACTGAAACAGAAAAAAAAATATGGTTTAATGAACAAGAATATGGGACATGATTTTGTGAAAACGAGCAAGGTTCATCTGAGTCTAGTCGTGCACATATTTGCAGGGGTAAATCAAAGTCCGACTGCTTTATCTTTGAGACGTCTGGCTGTGAATGCTTTGAATTAAACTACCATTTTAAAATGCATTTAGTATAGAATATAGGAGAAATCATATTGTTTTAGTTACTCCAGTAAATGGGCTAGGTGGAAATGTGGTATTAACTTTTAAGATTTCTCGTAATTCCCATCCAACCAACATGAAAATGTGTCAGTCCAAGGTTCAAGGCACTGAAGATGTTTAGCAACTTTAACTTGCCCCACTTTCAGGATGTCGGCTTTCAGACTAAAGCTGCTGTGCATAGCAGCTAACGTATGACAAATATCATTAAGATTCACTCATGACTCATCTCTGCATTTGATTGTATCAATGCCACAATGAATAATGAGTAGTGAGGTGGTGAAATAGGCTATACGACCCTCCACATTATGAAGAAGGAGATGGCTTAATGCCTAATCCCTTTAATGATTGCATAAAAGAGGAAAAGGCTCTGCTGATTATGGTCAAATATGGGCTTCCTTCAAGGTCTGCACGGAGCAAAAGAAATCCTTGTGGATTTACCCATTAAAAAACATAGATAACTGATGGCAGACAGTGGCACAGTTTTAAAAAAAAGTACACTGGCCATTTTGTACACAACCTTGTGTGTGCGTTTTGTTTGACATGTCATGTTGTCAGAACAAATCTTTTTGCATACATGCATACATGACATGTTATTTGCTTGCTTCTTATCTTGCCTCTGCAGCGATTATATTCGCCTCCAAACACAGCGACGTGATGCCAATCTACACGTTTCAGATGGCTTAGAAAAAAATCATTGTTCTTCTTTCTGTCTGAACTGAGTTCAGCTTCCTGCAAAGTGTGCCATGTATTTCTGCGATTTGATTTGATCTCTGTGCACAGACCTATCTTTGAGACTCAGACATTCAAAGCCCAAAGCTGTGTAACTGATTTGCTAAGACACCCGCACCTGCTGGTTATGTTCTAAACCCAAAGAAATATCTGTGTTTATACAACAGGCACTCATTAACATCCACTTCCTCTCCAGGAGATACAGCAATACAAGACGGCTTCTTCAGGTAATTGTCAACCAAAGCTCTTAGAGACGTGTGAAGGAGTGTTAAAAATAAACAGTAATTTCTGCTTACTGAAATAGGCCATCTGTTTCTGGATAGAAACTTGTTACAACCAAGTTTTGAAAAAAAGCTGAGGCGTTAACGTTAAAAATGGAAAACTATAAACCAAGAGCAATCATTTGCCAATCATGAAACTCTACATTTAATGAAAAATATTACTGAATTTACTGAATTGATGAGCTTGATTTCAGTGAGAAATGGGCCCAGGGCTTTACAACTGTGCTGTACTATCACCAGACACCGACCCCACTGTAGGAGAACTGAGATCAGTTACTGCAGGTCTGAGGGAAATAAGTTCGTTGTAGCCCTCTTTAGAGGAAAAGCACATCATGTCATCAAACATGTTGCCATGCTCAAGGAATATCCATTTCTGATCAGTGGGGAGCTAAAAATCAGCTGGTTTAATGGCCACTGACTGCTTGACTGGCTGAAAAACACAAAAAACACAAATGTCAGGGAAACTGTGTTGCAAAGGAACAGATTAAAACACTTTCTTTTTGCAAAATTAAAAAAAGGAAAGACAAGAGTCAATTTGCTGGAAACTTTTTGCAATTCACAATTGTGCTTACATGTTAACATGTAGGGTTGGGGGCACTTTTGGTTTTTTTCCACACTATAATTTATTTTAAAGTTTTATCTTACAGTTTTTTTATCACTAAAGCTTGAATGAAATATAAGATAACTTGTTTATCTACAACAAAAGTGTTTCTCTAGGACTTCATTCATTTCCCTCCTTTACGTATGAATAAGCATAGAGATTTTTAGATGCATTCATAACTTGCTAATTTTCCAGACATAGAAACAAACATCAGAATGCCAACTATCTGATCACGCTTTAACGTCTGTGGCTCTGTTTTAACTCTGTGCCGCATCTGTGCAAACAGCAAATATGTAAACAAGAATTATACCTCTTCCCTGGTTTGAAATTGCACAGCTGCATTGTATATATTAACATGTAAATGAAAAAAAATGATTTGAAGCGTGAGAAGCCTGCGCTAAGAACAAATAGGAAACCATCTGCCTTTGGGGTACAGTGCAAATATTAAAATGAAAATTAAAAAGTGAATAGACTTCCTGTCTGAAGATATGCTGCTATATAGAGAAATAATGCTCCTTAAGACTAGAGTTGGCAGAACTTTGCCAAGTATGGTCTGACATGACTCTCCAGGTGAGACGGATTTCTGTTTTTTTGGGACACAAAGTTCCTCAGTTGGTAACAAGAAGTAATTAAAGTTAAACAAGCTCCACTCATTTCTGGGAACCTGGGGGTGAAGGTGGGGGCTGCACCTTGAGTGAGGAGCAAGAGAAATAAACACAGCAACAGCTTTCCAGGGGACACAGATGGCCCCAGATTAGATTGATATGAGGAGTATTGGCTGATTTCATACCTTGTTTGGAAAAATACCAGGATAAATCAAAAAGTCACTAATGAAGCCCAACACCCTAAGGGATGCCGGCTCTTCAGCTGTATGCTGATAACTGGGAGGAAGGTTCCTCTTCACTCAGATCCCCAGGACACATTTTACCTGCAGTGCTACCTAATTGCTTGGAAATCACCATTATCACATACCTTTTTTTCAGCTTCATCTTCATGCACAGTGATTTCCTGAGATGCTCTAAGTCTTCACATTCACAGCCCCTTATTTTGCTGCTTATTTTCAGAACATTCCTGTTGGAGGCTTTAAGTTCCCATTTTGCTTGCAGTAAAAGAGGAAGCACTAGATCATTTGGTTAAGGTAAAAATAAAATCAGCACATACAACAACATAAGAACTACAAATTTGGCTATCATCCTGTTGCAGGACGTAAATGTGAAGCTCATTTAACTTCTTTTAATACAATTTATTCCATTTCAATGATCAAACACAAAAATTTCTTTATGTTAATTTTGGTTTGAATTACAAATCATCTCATCGAAAATAAATGGGAAATTAGAAGGACATTGTCCCAAATGAAAAACACTAAACAATTTTGTGCAGTGCTTGTCTTAATGTAGGTGAACTCACTCTGAATAATAAACAGGTGTAATTTTATACCCAGACGCAGCTATGTTTAAACTAGTTTAATTATTTGAGATTAGCTCAAGGAAAGCTTCCAGTTAGAGACCTATGGTCAAACTTTTTGACATAAGAATTCTTACTTGTTTATCTTTTCTTCAACACTAGATGGGGTGAAAGCATTATATTATAGGAACGACAGGGAAACTATATACTATGCCAAGCATCTCACCACTATCTGAAACAGAAGGACAAATCAGAGGAGTTGCAAACTATTAATGCTAATGCAGGTTTGAATTGGTTTATTGTTCTCTTAAAGCCACTCAAATCATAGCGTTTTTTTTTGTTCAGAATAACACATGTTTTTTGTTAGAAGCCATATCAAGGTCCATAACAGCGCTGACTTTCTTCGTCTCATATCCATACGCTGACATTTATTCAATTCACAATCTGTGGCCTGAGGCAGAGCCCGGGCAATGTGATGGGAATCACAAGATGATTGCCTTGTTTCGTTCTCCCCGCTTTCCCCTGAGTACAGCATGCATTGCATTTCAAGATTGAGATCTTGTATGACATCACCTTCCGTTAAAGTGCATACTCATGTATAGCCATTCAATCACATTTGAGTAAGAAATATAAAAAGTTCAACGGCCACAAGGTGAGAAAGTTAGAATATATCTGTTTTCATTTTCATTTCTCTGGTTCAGACAAGTAATTTATTGGTCAGTAACATAAGTGAAAGGATGAGCCAAAGTGGATGTGACAGAGGCCCCTCGTGGGGCAACAGGAGATGTCATCTATCTACATTACTCCTGTCTGTCCCTGTAGCTGTGGATGGAAATGTCCCGCAGAGCTGCCGCCACACACCTCTACAGGCCAAAAATAGAGGCAGAGACATGAAG